TTTTCCTTCAAAAATAAGGACATTTAAATGTGACCCCAAACTTTTGAACGGTAGTGTATTTTCTTTTTTTCATGAGTAATAAAGTACATATTTACTTGTTTTTGTAGTAATACAAGTATTTTTAAGAGCTAAAACTTTTCTTTTAAATAGCTGCATATCGAATGAGATATGTGGTTTGACACACAAAAAAAAAAAAAAAATCAAACAGGACAGGTCTGTTGGAAGAGAAGAAAATCTTTGGGACTGACCTCACTTGCATGTAGGAGAATTTGATCAGGACCGTGGCAGAATGAGGCAGATTCAAATGCAAACGCTTTCCCAAAGGACTATATCAATAAAATTACAATTTTCTTAATTACTGCTATTGGTAAAGTCATAATTTGATTCAAAAACTTTACCTTTACCACAGTCTGCAGAAAGAATGTGACTGTATGAACTCTCTCACTCTCTCACGCGTTCTTTTTGCCTGGTGGAAACATCTTACTTTGTGGAGTTTCCTGCTTCACATTAAATACACAAATAACCAAGCTCTCTTTTCCTGCCTCCTTTGCAGTTTTTACACATGCAGGAATTAACCATAGCAATATTATTTATAATGATTTGATTTATTAAAGCATCATACACTATCACATGCTGCCCAGCTAATACAGACACAATACAACTACTATACAAAAAATGGAACACCAATAAAACAAATAGTATAATAATGATAATATAGGAGTAATAACAATAGTCGTCATCACAAAGATCTTAATGTATCAAATGCTAAAGTCTCCTGCACCCTGATTAACCATCTATAACCAGTTATGTGGTGTATTTCTGACTATAAGCCACTGCAGTGTGTGGGTATATGGATATCAGGAGGAAATACGCCATTTAGCTAAATGTACTCTTCCCAGATCATAAGTTAGTGTTATCCTAAATCGGCATCATGCTGCTGCTATCATGCTGGTTTTTCTTTTCCATCCATGACTCTTGAGCTGCTGAGAGGGGCTTAGAGGAGGGTGGGATCTTAAATGGGTCTACTGTATTTAACATCTGCCTTGTTTTCAAGCTGCTTCTCTTTGGCTGTTACCTCAGCATGCTCCCTGGGCTGCATGCTTCAACATGTGATATTCAGACATATAGAAAATATAATGGGAAATCATTGTTAAAGGTGGTAAAAAATAAAAGCATGTCAGTTTTCAGGTTTCTATTTTGAAAGAAAATGGTTTTGATTTTGACTCATGATGAGGCACCCTTTTTTTCCAAATCAAAATTAGATACATTGAAATGTGTGATTTTAGTGTGAAAATCAGGTCACATTAGTTCCTGGAAGCACTGTAGTCTGGTTCATATACTGAAAATGGTTCACATGTAACTAAGATTATAAATTTAAATGTGTAGGGTAAAAAAAAAAAAAATCTGTCATTGCTGATCAGACCTAATATACCTAGACTAAATGTACGTTTATATTAGAAGGCAGAAGAAAGATGTTAAAGTGACTTATCTTTAAGGCTGGTAGACTTAAACTAGGATTTTATATTTGGAACAGGCACATCTGTTTTTTGATGAAAAAAAAATACTTTTTCTTATGGCCTCAAATTAGTCTGCAGATAAATTAAATAGATCAACATCTGAAGATACAGACATTAGAAACCTGGTTACATTAAAAAAAATCTCTGGTCATTTCTTAATCAGTTATTATTCAATCTATTATAAACCCTATGATTAATTAAAATCATGGGGAAAAGCTCTTCCTAGTCAAATCAGGCGTTTTTCCCCGGCTTGGGAAGTGGGACAGGTTTTTAAAGTATGTATGTATGTATGTATGTATGCTTGGCTAAGCTTTAGAAATACCACAGAATTCTACCATTTCAAAGTGGTCTGAGTTTAGAGAAATTCATCTACAGCCCTGACTAAAATTGATTGATTGACTTTACTGATCTCACAGTGGAGAAATGTACTCGTTACATCAGCTCAAATAGTCATAAAGAAGAAAAAGGTGCCAAAGGAAGGAAAGGTGCATGGTGTATATACAGTATGTAAGTATGCAAATACCTGTTTTATCTTTCATAAACAGTTTATTCATCTGTGTCTGCCTACTTTTTACAAGAGGTGCAATACAAAAATTTCCCTTCATTAGAAAAGAAGGGTAAAATCTCACCGCAAACAGTCTGAGCACGTTGGCCACCATGATAGACACTGAGCTGCCTGATGCTCCGATCACACCGACCACCCTCTCTGGTTTGGGGATGATGGGGGGTTCTCCATTCGAGCAGCGCACATCTGAGTTGTCTTTCTGGATGAGGGCCTGGACGAAGGTGAGCGACTGCTCTAGGGCATAGGTGTCTCTGGAACATGTGTCCAAGATCCGGGCTCCAAGAGTGATGTTGGGCAGCAGGTCTGGGTCACTGTTGATCTGGTCCAGTGCATACAGCATGGCCTCCAGTCGATGGATTCCCTTTTCTCTCTTGATCTCACCACAGGGGACACCAGCAGGCCCTCTGGAGTGTACAGGGAAGAGCCCGCCCAGGGTGATGTCTCCCTCGATTTTGATGGATTGAGGCTGGGTATCCTGCTGTGCTAGTGAAACAGGGCTGAAGCCCACCAGCAGGACCCAAAGAACATAAAGCCTTCGATGGTATTTAAACAACAAACTGAGACAGCAGAACAGGTGGTATGAAGAGGCCTCTGATACCATGATGATGACCAGCAGAGGTACTGACAGCACCAGGCCACTTCTTCTACCTTTGGCACCTGAGGACAGAAAACAGGAACAGTTCAGATGATCTAATCTCTTTATTTAATGATTGAAATAATCAAGGCGCAGACAAATGGCTGCTGACCTTAACCCTTGTTAAGGACCTTGTGAAGTATTCATTCTATAGAAAGTTGTATCACATTAAGACCTACTTTCATGTATTTTTCTGTGATTTTAGCTCATAATTGTCGGGTAAATGTCTGAGTAATGGATGCTTTTCGAAATTACTTGCCACATTTGGTGATACATTTTGTGGTCCACAACTAATTGTTGTTGTGACAACAGATTCCCCCAATAGAACCGAGGATCTCTGCAACTTCTTCAAAGAAACCTGGTGCGGCAGGCTGCTCATCCAATTCATGCTGACCTGGTCCAGTATATCGGTTTGGATGGACAACCATGTCTTGCAGTTGTGCCACAGTCTTTACACTCTTGGATGATGGATTTAAAGGATTTAACAGCTCTGTGAAATCCATTGCTTAGGATTTTTTCTACATGCATGCTTTAAATGTCTCCACAGCTTCTCTGTTGGGTTGTATTCTGTGTTTCTGGGCCTTCGTACTACTGTTTGTTCCCCATTGTCTTCTAACAAAGCTCTGAGGCATTTACAGGACAGGTGCACTTATTCTAAACTTAGATTGAGCAGATATTATTTACTATTTAGGCTACATCTTATTTAGAGGGAACAAAATAAAGGAAATACAAATGTAGACATATTTTTAGATTCCAGTAGGAAAAGTATATCAACTACTAGACTACTATGGTCTTATCTGTTTATCTGACAGATTTGGTCTGTCAGATAAACACCCGATGAAATACAGCAAGTTTATTTGGCGATAAAATACCATAATCATAAAACTGAATGAATACCATAAAATGATCTACCAAAGTACTGTAGAAGATCTGTGTTCAGACACACACATCATTACAGTTACAAGAAACACTGAGTACTCTAAGATGGTCTCAGTTTTTTTTAAACTAATACAAATCTAACTCTAAACAGGCCCCTGATGGGCACCTCATTAATATCATCCCTGCAGCTAAATAGGGTGACTTCTGTTTTCTGCAGCAAGGACTCAAATATTAGTCACTACAGGGAGAAAGATGCAGTAATAATGTAAATCTTTTCCACTGTGATCAGAATCTCAGATCCAAGCAAACATTTGACGAAGACACCAAAAGATGAAAGCTACGGTACCAAAAAAAGTCAAGTTGTGACCCATAACTTGGATACAGCTTTAAATCTTTGTGTTAAGCTGAAAGCTGGTTTTCACAAACATCGTCAGGTTAACTTTCAGAGTGCAAATGGTGACTAAGGCCTGCTACTAAGGTGAATTTTCTCAAGGCCAAGGCAGTGAGGATTTTAGAGTTTTAGTTATAGATTACAGCATAATTAAACTAAAACATTTAATTCCGAACAAATGGTATTGAGAGATTTTAACCTAACTTTTGGCACTGCTGAATTCAGGAGCTGTGATTATGTGGTTCTATAATGTTAAGAACTAAACCTTTTTTGTGATTTACCAAAAAGTACATTTGAAAATAAGCTGAGGAATGAGGCGTTTTTTTAGAAAAAATTTAAAATGACACGGGTTGAATGTTGGAAGCTTTTATCATGAAGAGCAGAAAGCAGATGATGGAAAACCTTATAAATTTTGCAAAACCAGAAAACATAATGTAACTTGTCAGACCATTTCATGCCTCAAAAGTCAAACCAGGTTAATTATATGTTCATGAGAAGTACAGAGAAAATCCACAGTTATCTGAGAAGCTTGGAGCTTTTTCAGATTACTCTTCATTCCAAGAAGATTTGAAACCATTAAACCTCTCCAGATTTCAATTGTAATAATGCCATCACATTTTGCATGAATGCCTTTTTTTTTTGCATATTTAAATTTAGCGGAAATACTTTGTGCATTGAAATGCAGGGAGCTGAAAGAGGCAGCAATGGAATGAAACTCTCCCTTTCAAATGATAACATCAAAGACAAAGTGTACAAAGTAAAGAAATATCTTACCTTCCCATTGTTCATGGACCAGTCTGTGTTTTATCCATCACTTGAATTTCTGCAGGCAGGCCTCCAAGCATGGTCCAGATATAATGAACTAAACCTAGACCTAAGGCTCAGTAATCTCTGCTTTGAACAATTAGGAAACAACTAAAATCATGTTTTAAAAAAGAACCTGATTTAATTTTAAAAGACTAAATAAAGAAGTCTCTTATGACTTTAGGGTATAGTATCCTGGCATAAGCAGAGAGAAAGTGCAACATTACAGCATGAGAGTCTACAAATCATAGCCAAATCCCTTAAAAGCTCTCCCTTTCTGCCGTTCTTTTTTCAGTCGTGCGCATCTCAGTCCAGTGCAGTCACTCCTCCCTCCCTCTCTGTGGTGAACCCTTGCCTCGCTCGCTCTCTATGCGCACTAATGGCCTCAGATTGGGATTATCATGCAGCCGTCTGTGAAGAAAGCACTAGGTGGACAAGCTCAGACTTTTTTTCTCATTCATTCAGCTGCAGCAAAAACCCTCCTCCCGCTCCATCACTTTGAGAGATTAGATGAGCAGCGATTTGCTCTTACACATAGGCACAACGACAACCCACATCCACTCACTATCACAACCCTGTCAACACATAAACAATGCCAGAACATATCAGAGCCAGAACATTTTTTGCACTATAGATTGTAACTAGACTAGGTTTGCAATTGATCTCAGATTATGCTCGCAGATAGAATTAATAAACATGCCTCTTAGAGCATCCAACCTTGACACTTAAATGTATTTTGTAAACATCTTACTACCCAGTTGATCTTTTGCACATTTTATCAATTTTTGACCAGACCATACAAATGTGCTTTATTTATATGATACACCAACATATGGTGATACATTTGGCTCACAAGCAAAAACTAATCTCAACCAAAAATAAATAAATTGCGGTTAAATCTTGTGGAATTGTAGTGAAATATAAATAGTTTTTTTTTCTTTAAATGGAATATATATATATATTTTTTAAAAAGGTTTGTCAAATAACTGTTTTTTATTTAAATGATTAAATGTTTTCTCACGAAAAGAAAAGGTTATTTGCAAAAAATAACGTTACAGAAATATTCTGTTACGATTTGCAGACTTTTCTCAGCTCTATGTTACCTGAAGATTTTTGAGCGTTGGGAAGATGAAGATCCTGGATGTGGCCTAAAGACAAACGACGTAAGATGTGCCCCTACTAGTCAGTGCTGACTGAAGCTAAAAGATTTTTATTTTTTTGAAAGCATGACTTCACAAAAATATATGTATCATTACCATAATAAAAGTTTTGGCCACAATTACAAAAAAAATATTCAATTACAATTACAGAATAACAAATATATTGTTTTCTAGTGGGATACATTTTTATTTGATTGAATAATATTGAGACACATTTATCTCCATACAAATACATTATTTAACATAAGAATTAAAAATGAAATAAGTTTTAATAAACTCTAAGGAACTGAGCTGCTCATAGTCAAGTCTAACAGATTTCCTTGCCCTGCATCCATCTTCCCCGTTACTTTGACCAGCTTACTGGAAAAAGAGAAGCATGATACTGATGCCTCCTTGTTTCACTGAGGTCACAGTTAGCTTAGGCTGTTGTGTGGAATTAGTTTTCTCCCACATATGATACATATGTTTTTCCTGTATAGAAAAAATTTTAAATGTGCTTTTAGAGAGCATGATTTGGTGGGGCAGTGGTTAGCGCACACGACCCATATATGAAGGCCTTTGTCCTCAACAAGGGCGACCCAGGTTTGAATCCGACCTGTGGTCCTTTCCCAAATGTCTCTCCCCTGTCTCTCATACCCCC